CACGTAGTGGTGGCAGCAGCTATCTTTTCTGATCTGAAGTTACAACTTGGTGATAATCATGGCAGGAGGATTGAGAAAGAAGGTTGTGGTGTTTGATTCACTGCTGTCAGATGTGACTGTGATTCATGTAGGAGTGCCAAATGTGATTCCTGGGTGTTCTGGGCTGGAGAGCAGAAAATTGCTTAAGATATTGGGCTCAGCCTTGTTGCCCAAGGTATGGTGTTTTTCTTTGTTAATTGTATTTGTATTTATATGCTGCCCCTTTTCATACTCCAGGTGTATCCTGGGAGGTAAGAACAAGTCAGTGATGGAGAAGAAGCCACCATAGGAAACATGGCACAGTGAGCTCTTGTCATGGTCCAATCTGTATCCACCCTTCCAAGGTAATACAAGTTTTTCCGATGGGCACAAAGACATGTGATGAAGCACAGACATCTTGGAGAAGCTGGGAAGCTGTCCTTAGGATGCACTGCTAAGCAGATCTCAGAAGACTTCCCATGGGCTTTGTCTTGTGGGCAGACACTGCAACATCATTGAGTGCCTGCTGGTCTTTAGTGGAGGAAACAGTAAGCAGACCCAGCAAGTGTCTGAGGTACTGGAGCTACTGTGCTGTGTGATTTCCATGTGTCTTCCTGTTTAGTGATCACTGGACATGCCAAAGTTCTTGAAGCTTGCCTCCTTGAACAGCATAGTGACATTCCAGAGAAAAAGACTTGGGTTGAAGTTCTGGGCCTGCCATTTATTAGTTGAGGGGATTTTGGAAGACTGCCGTATAATTTATTTAGTTGAGGGGAATTTGGCAGACTGTTTCATAATTCCTATGATTGAGTTCCTCATCCCTAATATGATTTTTGGTAATATCTACTGCAAATTTCTTTATGATGGATAAACATAATAATGGCTGCCAATGCTTAGTAGCATGTGCCAAAAAAGGAAAGTTATTTACAGAAATAGAAATCGGATCCATCTGAGGTATATGTAGCCTACGGAGTCCATTTGTTTTGTCCATATGTACATGTGTTCAGACATAACAAAGTAGGATTGGTAAACCACAGTGAAAGCTTGTCTCTGTGGGAAACTATTAAACTATTCTACTTCTGCCAGCATCTTTGACAATCTGTAGGTCTTCATCTAGGAGTAGAACCATGTGGACTCTCCCCATCCATGTTGCCATGCCAACCAGTGTTATCATGATGTTGGTTTTGCTAAGGCAACCCCTATTTTTGTATTCATGGGGCCATTTCCCTTAGAATGCTTATGGGAAACTGTGTAGACACAGACATCTTGTCCTCTGGCTCTTACAATCTTTCCGCCACCTCTTCTGTGATTCTTTTGAGTCTTAGGTGTAGGGGTTGCATTGCAGATGTATCATTTGGATTCAGTACCAGAAAAGAAATCATGAAATTCACAGGTAAATGGAGAGAGCTAGAAAAAATCATACTAAGTGACATAACCCAGACCCAGAAAGTTAAATATGGTAGATTTTCATTTATATGTGGAAGTTAGTTGTTGAGTCAAAGAATAAGTAAGCTACAATCTATATAACCACAGGTTAGGTATAGAGTAAGGGAACAGTGAGGAGGGATGGCTCTCCATAAAGGGGGAATAGAATAGATTGTTATGGATAGGTGAGGAAGGAGTCTGGAACAGGATGGTGAAATGAGGAGGGAGAGGGAAAGAGGGCAGGTGAAGAAATACTGGGAGGGATAGTTAAAATTATGGGCCATTTGAGGGCTCTTATGGAAACCTAATAGAGTAGAACCATAGTGGCTACACTAGTTTACACTACCACCAAAAGTGAGCAAGTATCCCCCTGTCTCCACACCCATGTCATCGTTTGTTGTCGTTTTCTCCAGCCATTCTGACTGGAATAAAATGAACTCTTAAAATAATTTTCATTTTCATTGTATATATGCATAACTATTTAAGTTTAATTTTCCCTGATGGATAAGGATGTTGACCATTTAAAAATTTTCTCACTGGACGGTGTTGGTGCATACCTTTAATCCCAGCACTCAGGAAGCAGAGGCAGGTGGATCTTTGTGAGTTTGAGGCCAACCTGGACTACAGAATAAGTGCCAGGACAGGATCCAAAGATAAACAGAAAAACCCTGTCTCGAAAAACCAAAAAAAAATTTTTTTCCTCAAATTTGTATTTCTTCCTTTGAAAAATCTCTGCATATTTCAAATCTCCAATTTTTAGCAGTTTTTTTCTTGATATTTAGTTCTTTATACACACCTATTTTCTGTCATGTATACCTGGTAAACGTGTTTCCCATTCTCTAGGCTGCCTCTTCATTTAAGTGATGGTGTTCTTTGCTGTGCAGAAGCTTTTTAGTCTGATGGAGTCCTGTTTGTTGATCGTTGGTCTTCACATTCATGCTACTAGAGTCTTGTTCAGAATGACTTTTCTTTTATTGTGCTTTGAAGTTGAAACAAATTTCCTACTTTCTCTGCTAACAGTTCAAGACACCAGGTCTTATGCTGAGGCTCTTGATACATTTGGAGCTTAATTTTGCTCAGGGTGAAAAGCATCTTGTTATGCTTATTAGGATGAATCTTACTTGATCACAATTGATGCAATCTTTTTGAAGTGCTCTTGAGTTCAGTTTGCAAGTGCTATATTGAGATTTTTTTTTGCATCTCTGTGCATTATGGGAATCTGTCTATACCTTTCTCTTTCTGTTAGTTCTTTTTTTGGTTTTGGTATCAGGGCAATACTGGATATATAAAATTAATTTGAAAAAGTTCCTTCTCTTTTGATTTATGAAATAATCTGAGAAATATCGATGTTAGTTAGCTGAAGTTCTGGTAGAACTCTCTGCTAAATTTGTCTGACCCTCGGCTTTTCCTAGTTGAAGGACTTTTATTTTACTTTTCTTTTTTTTTCTTTTTGAGACAGAGTCTTTTATATAGCTCTGGCTTTCCTGGAACCTACTATGTATACCAGACTGGCCTCAGACTCACAGATATCCACCTGCCTCTGCTTTCCAAGTTCTGTGATTATAGGCATAACCCACTGTTCCCTGATAGTTTTGGGATTTTCAATTACTGCTTCCAGTAATTGAATTTGTTGCAATACATCTGTTTCAATGTTTTTACTTCATCTTGATTTAACTTTGAGAAGTTATATTCATCTAGAAATTCACCTATTTTCTTTAAACTTTCCAGTTTAGTGGAATATACATGCTTATAGTATATTCTTCTGATACTCTGAATTCCTTTGTGTCTGTGATGTTTTCCTTGTCATCTCCAATTTTATTATTTTTAGTATTATGACTTTTAGTATTTTAGTATTTAGTATTTTTTGTTAACTTAGGTAAAGGCTTGTTAGTATTTCCAAAGACCAAGCTTAGGTTTAATTAACAAATTGCACTGCTTGCTTTGAATTAACTTCATCCCTGATTTGGTGATCTCTTCCCATCTATTACTTTAGGGGTGTTGTTTGTTCATGTTTTTCTAAGGCTTTCAAGTGTTTCTTTAGCTATCGATTGAAGATTTCTCATTTTTTCCATATAGGTGGACACTGTTATAAATTTTTCTCTTGCAGGATATGGCAATCATGCCTTTAATTCTAGCCCCCAGTAGGCATATGCAGTTGCATCTTGTGATTTTTAGGTTAACCTGGTAAGAATTGACAACTATGTACATACTGAGTTCCATGATAGTTAGGACTACACATAGAGAGACCCTGTCTCAAAAATTCAAAACTGAATAAATGAACTTCTTCTTATGAATGCCTCTATTGTACCCCATGGATTTTGTTATGTTGTGTTTTCATTTTCCTTCAATTCTAGGAATTTTTAAATTTCCTTTTTGATTTCATTTTTTGGCTTCATTACTATTCAGTAGTATGATATATAGTCTCCATGACCTGTGTACTTTCTGTAATTCCCATTGCTGTGAACAGTTAGCTTTAATCCATAATATTACCACAATCTTATAAAAAATAAGATAATTTTAATTCTTTTGTATTTGTTAAGGCTTTAATTATGATAAACAATGTAATCTATTTTAGAGAAAGTTCCATATCTGTTGAGAAGAATGTATACTCTGGAACTTATGTGGAATGCTGTATAAATGTTTGTAAAGCCATTTGATCCATGGTGCCTTTTAATTCTGGAATTTCTTTCCTGATTATTGGGTGTTGGTGTTGTAAAGTTGAGCTGAGCTACATTCCAATGATGAGTGGCTATTATAGTCACTAAGTTTTAAGCACCAGGACACATCCTTGTGTGTGTGTGTGTGTGTGTGTGTGTGTGTGTGTGTGTGTGTGTGTGTGTGTTTCTGTTTTCTTTGCAGGGAGGCAAGTGCCAGTTGCTCCAAAGTGCTGCAGTCACTTAAGGTTATTCCCCTTTCTATGAACCAGGCTTGTTTCTGATCCCTATCAGTTTTACAACCTATTAATGAGGCAGGTTTTCACTGGCTCCAGAATCTGTCCAATTTGTAAACCTTAGGGTGTCTAATGTCTAAACCAGGTGTTGTCTCCTGAGCGTGTTGGGGTTTGGGGAGGCAGGAGAGCACTGGAATCTGTTACTGGAGGAATCAGTCCAATGTTTTCTAATTCTGCTCAGTAATAAATATCTTTGTGATGAATGAGGCTGTTAAGGTTGTCTCAGTAATATTTATTCTAAGATTATACCAACCTATGAAACTGTGTGCTATAGGTAGACAACATTAAATCAGTTCTCAGCTCTGCATTCTATTTTCTTAAGAACAAATATTGACTAAAAGCAGAAAATAAACACATGAGTAAAATGAAATAGTATAAAGGAGGATTGGAGCAGCTGGTGCAGCTGGTAGGAACTGTCCACCAGGTGGCAGAGCATCTCTGTTGGTGCAAACTTAGGGACTTTTTGGTTGACTTCTGAAAGGGCGGCTGCAGTCAGCAGCCTTCTTTGAGGACAACTGAAGAAGCTGCAGTGCTGTGGAGGACAGAGGAGGAGAGCTGATCACAGAAGCATCTTGCCTGGTGAAAACTACAGTCCCCAGGGAGAGCAATGAATGCACTGACTGGACCTTTTGTCCTGTGCTTGTGGCTGCAGCTGAACTGTGAGTGGGGGCTTTTGGGAAACAAGGCATTTGGCAATGTTCATTATCAGTCTGAGGAGCAGACTGGTTCCTCCAGATTGCCCATAGTCACCACGGGAAGAAAAGCAAAGATTGGAGAATACGGGCCTGATAGTTTTTCTGCTGTTTCCTTTTGCACAGGTGTGAGCAGAGGAGAGCAGCTGGAGCAGCAACCTTCTCTCCTGAGTGTCCAGGAGGGAGACAGTGCTGTTATCAACTGCACCTACACAGACACTAATTATTACTTCTACTGGTACAAGCAAGAGCCTGGGGCAGGTCTCCAGTCCCTTATAAATGTTCCTTCAAGTGTGGACAGAAAAGAAGAACAAGGACTCATTGTCCTACCAAATAAGAAGGACAAAGAACTCTCCCTGAACTTCACAGCTGCCCATCCTGAGGACTCAGCCATGTACTTTTGTGTAGCAATTGCACAGAGCTCCTCAGGCATCCGCTGTCTGTACATAAAACTGAGACCAGGGCTGGAGACAGATATATTTCCCATTGTTGAGATGAAGAATTCTCTGTATTTTATCTGTTTCTAAACATACAACAAGTACTAGCACATCTTGAATGACCTCTTAATGAGAATAACTAATCATTTATCAACATGTAGAGTTGACTTTCAGGTGCCAACTAGATTGCCCCTACTCCAAATACATCTCTGTGTCACTTGTAGAGAATATTCATCATGATGGAAAGGCTCTTATCTTTTAATGAAGGTACTTAATGTATCTATTAGAAGGTTATAAGCACACAGTGTAGGACAACCATTAAAATGTAAAGCAAAATTTTCTGTAAAGTATTACTACAATTAGCACCATACAGAGCAGTTTTGACTTCCACGTGTACCCTGGCATGACTATTTCACAATGCCAACCATAAGCCTATTTTTTATGTTGTTATGATGTATTTTACACAGCACTCTATTATTCCTATTGAGTCACCTTTACTTTGAGCTGAATGGACGTACTTGAAGTGTGATGTTGCCTTTTGCAAAGATAAGTTGATTCTTGAAGTCATTTAAGTTCCTCTAGAATAAGAGTTTTCTCAGCCTCTCCCCTGTTTCTCTTGAGCTCTCATTCATTTGTGCCACCAAACCCTCTCAATTTCCCTGAATTTTTTCACTTCCACAACATTTTAAAAGAAAAATTTTCTTTCTAATATAGTAATTAAGGTTTCCTTTTATTGAGGGGTTGTTACAAACATTCCACGCACAGACTAGGAGGCCAGAGTGGACTTTGGAATTAATAATCACGACAGAGTCCAGCATGTCTGTCCTTGGCAGGAATGGTCACTCAGCCATGTCCTTACCATAGAAGGGTCCTCTCTGTATAGTCTCCCAGGGTGGTCTACGGTACCACTGTGTGATTTGGGTACTTACATTTCCTGTGTGATGCCATCATTACTATGAGAAGAGTACTAAGCACTTCAGATCCTCTGTTTAGATCATTAGTAGTGACAGTGCTGATGCTGGTGTTCACTGAGTGGAAAACAGTCAGATCATATTTTTCTTCAGGATAGACATATGTAAAAACAAGCTCAAATGTTTATCTTCTGAAATGCCTTATGGTTAACAGTTGATGTTAGACACACTGATGCTTTTGCTTGCTGTTACTCTCATTTTTATATCTATACGTAATCTCTTATTCCTTTATTAAAGTGACCATTTATCTTAGTCAGGGTAGCTATTGCTATGCTGAAACACCATGGACAAAGGCAACTTGGAGAGGAAAGAGTTTATTTCAGTTTACAGTTCCACATAACAGTCCATCATTGAGGGAAGTCAGGACAGGAATTCAAACAGAGCAGGATCATGGAGGCAGGTGCTGCTTACTGGCTTGCTCTCCATGACTTGCTAATGGGTGCATCTTCTTTCTCAATACAGAGGACACAGTCCCATATTGGTTGTTCTGGTCTTCTGGCTTTTACAAATTTTCTTTCCCCTCCATCCTCCCTGATCCCTGAGACTTAGTTGTAGAATTGTGTTGTAGATGCATCAGTTGGGTTTGGACAAACTATGTTCATTTGTCTCTGAATTTTGACCTGTTGGGGATCTTTGTAGTATCCTCTACCTGCTGCAAAAAGAAGCTTCTCTGATGGTAAATGCTGTGCTTATCTGTGGGCATAAGGTTAAGTATTAGAATGTAGTTAGACATTATATGGGTTGAGGAAAGCAGCAGTAGTAGGCTTCCCTCTAGGTTCCATGGCCTCCCCAATCCCGGAAGTTTGCTAGGTTTACATTGCCAGACAAAAAAATCCCTCTTAACTTGTGGGCCTTGAGTACAATTAGATGACTGTTTGTTACCACCGAGATATGACTGCCACTACTGCATCTTTGGGAATATCTTGTTGCGCTGGTCACTGCTATTGTTCAAAAGCTTTACAGAAAGGTATCACTATTGATTGCTTATGGTTCTGGCAGCTTTCAGAGTACCTTCCACTGCCTTTAACAATAGGGACATAGCTTTAAATTCTGGGATGCAGCTACAGGCAACTGTAATATCCTGTACTGTTTGGGGGAACTCTTGGACTCCCCTAACCAACAACTTGGAACTAGGATTTTCATCCATGGCACTGGGTTTTTGTTAGATAGGCTCTTGGAGGTGTATTACCACCTCAAGTAGAATACTTAACGTGTGTGTGTGTGTGTGTGTGTGTGTGTGTGTGTGTGTGTGTGTGTTGTGTAACATATTTAAATATACTATACATTATTTTAGATGAACACTGTAGCTGGAAGTTCCTGTGTCCTGCCCGGTCCACAGCCACTCAGACCCAAGTAAACACAGAGGCTTATATTAATTAAAACTGCTTGGCCATTAGCTCAGGCTAACTACTGACTAGCTCTTACACTTAAACTCAGCCCATTTCTGTTAATTTATATGCTGCCATGTGTTCCGTGACTTTACCTGTGTGCCATTACATGCTGCTCCCTGGATGGCAAGCTGGAGTCTCCTGACTCAGCCTTCCTCTTTCCAGAATTCTCCATTTCTGCTTATCCCACCTATATTTCCTGTCTGGCTACTGGCCAATCAGCGTTTTATTAAACCAGTGTACAAAAGCATTATTCAACAGCAGAACTCAAATATGATCACCTATGGCTATTTATTTTGAAACAAAGTCTCACTGTGTAGCTCTGGATGTCCTAGAACTCACTCTGTAGACTATGCTGGCCTCAAACTCACAGAGATCCACCCACCTCTGCCTCCCAAGTGCTGAGATTAAAAGTGTGTGCCACTGCACCCAGCACCCCTATGGCTTTTAAAAAATACCTGGCGTTATTTATTCTTTCTTCTTCCCTTCTCTCTCTATATTGCTCTCCTTCCATCAACACCAGTTAAAGGTCTCCTCCTTGTTTTCTATGTTTCTATTTTATTAATTTCTGCTGTGATTTTTATTATTTCTTTTCTACTGAACTTGGTTAATTTCCAAATCATGACTTGCATCATTAAGTCATTTCTTTGTGCTATTTCTGGTCCTTTCTTTCTTTTTATTTGTTCTTCATGTTTTTCACATCATGCATCTTGATCCCATTTATTTCTTGTTCCCTTGTATCCACCCTCTGCCCTTGCAACCTCCCCCCCAATTAACATAAAATAGCACTTAAGAGGAAAAAAAATCTCATCACAGAAGTTGTAGTGTGATATAGTGAGTCATGCAGTAACCCTTTTATCCATATATTTTTATGGATATGCTCATTGTAAAGAGTCTTTGTTCTAGTTTGAGGTCTCTGTTTCTGCTACTCAATCGATGTTGGGTCCTCCCTGGGACTCCTCCTGGATATCCTGTTGTTGCCCTGTGCTGGCGAGTGCTGAAGCTGGTGAGGGGCAGGGACAGCTCTCCCACCCTTATTATCTTCGGGCCAGCTCTCCCACCTGTCATAGGCATCAAGGGGTGGGGGTGGGGTGGGGGTGTCTCTCCCTCACCTGCACCACCATATGGCAGGTGAGGGGCAGGACCAGATCTCCCATGCTTACATTCTTGGGGCTGCTCACCTGTGCCCCCGTCAACAGGATCAGCTCTGCTGTGCTGCCCAAATGAGGTACAGGGCCTGCTTTCTTGAGTGTTGCAGCTGATAAATGGGAGGGTCAGTCAACTCTCTCATCAGCTGAAAGTGGAAGGGGCAAGGTGGGGCATCTTTTTCTCACTCCAACCACCCCACGACAGCTGAGGAAGCCAAGCCAGTACCAGCTATGCCCCTTTCATGCCCTCAGAGCTGACTCCCCTGTGTCCATGTCTACAGAGTCAACTCCATTGTGCTGCCCAGGTGAGGTGCAGGGCCTGTAATCTTAAGTGCTGCAGTCGACAAGAGGGTTGGGTCAGGTGCCCCAACAGCTGCAGGTGTCAAAGGGAGTGGAGGAGGACATCTTTCCCTCACCCAGGCCACCACATAGTAGATGAGAGGGGCATGAACTGCTCTGCCATTCTCATGCCCTCAGGGTCAGCTTGCCCATACCCCTTGAACAGGGTCAGCTCTACTGTGCTGCCCAGGTGAGATGTTGGACCCTTTGTCCTGAGTGCTTCAGCTGGTGAGGGGCAGGACCAGTTCTCCCTCCTGTTACAGGCAGTGAAGGGCTTTCTACAGCCCTATCCTCTCTATGTTTGGTGGTATCAGGAGCCTCAGATATCAACATCAGGGCCATTAAACTAGACATGTGCCTTAGCAGTAGCCCAGGCCTAGACATCACCATGGCGCTGGGTGGTAATCAAGCCACCCACCTCATCTGGTTCCTTATCTCTTTCACCTCTTCAGATATGCTTCTGTCCACGGGAAATGCACCACTCTTTCCCCCCTCCCTCCCTCCCATAACACAGCATTATATTTGCTTACCATAAAAGTGCACCATCTGCCCAGGGCCTTGTGATGCTAGATAGGCCCATGTTTTCTCTCCAAAGCCCAGGGCAGGCCTGAATGTGGGTCTCTTGTCATGCTCAGTCCATCGTGCTCCTGGGCAGGAACATGCTTCCTTCTTCTCTGGTTCTTTCTTAATTTAGAGACTTAGAACTATGTTTTTTTCTTGAATTGTTTATACTGTGTCCCCGTGGTTTATTGTGCTGTATTTTCATTGTCTTTTAATTTCAGTATAACTGGAGTTTTCTCCAGTCCTGCTCAGGCCTGTAGCTGAACAGACCCAAGTAAATACACAGAGACTTATATTACTTATAAACTGTATAGCTGTGGCAAGCTTCTTGCTATCTAGTTCTTATATCTTAAATTAACCCATTTCTATTAATCTACAAGTTGCCATGTGGCTTGTGCATTACCGGTACTTTACATCTTGCTTTGCATGGCAGCAGCTGGCAGCGTCTCCTCACTCAGCCTTCCAGTTCCCAGAATTCTCCTCTCTGCTTATCCCACCTATACTATACTTCCTGCCTGGCTACTCACCAGTCAGCATTCTATTTATCAATCGATCAGAGCAATACATTCACAGCATACAGAAAGACATCCCCAGCACTTCCCTTTTTCTTTTTTTTAAAAAGGAAGGTTTTAACTTTAACATAGTAAAATTACATATAGCAAAACAATTATCAAGCAAGAATT